TTGCTAAGCACTTTTCATGCATGACTTTATATAATTCTCACTGGAAAATCTATAAGATAGGTACTGTAATTTCTACTGTATGTAGATGAAGAAGCACAAGGAGATGAAGCAGCTTGCTCAGGTTCACTCAGCTAGTAAGAGATGGTTGATGATAATTTTATGTGTCAACTTGACAAGGCTATGAGGCATCTATACATTTAGTCAGACATTATGCTGGTTATTTTGGAAGAGAATATGGTTTAACATGATTTTGCCCTCCAAAATAAAGTGACACTAATTCATTTAATTTAGCTCTTTGATGTTAAAGAGTGACCCTTTCAGAATCCTCAGCGCCGAGTCCAGCACTTAGCACATATACACTGGGATTAGGTTTAAATTCAGTAAACCAATTCAACAGGGTAGGACTTTGGAAGTTTTCAAGGCTATCATTGTTTCCAGAGGCTAGAAGTGATTCTTACAGCATAATTTTATTCCTCTGGAACAGAAGATAGGCCCAAGCCACAGGCCTTGTTTTATGTTTCCGTCCAAACCCACTGGCATTGTCAAAATCTGGGCTCAATCAAGTTGGCACTTGAGAGCTCAAATCTCTACCGAATATTGCCAGATTCTTTGCATCAGTGGAAACAAACAGGGAATGTATATAACTTATGTTTACCCAGACTTCTGGGAAGTGTGCATAGAAGGTAATACGATCACCGGTCATTTAAGGTAATATGATCAGAGGTAGGGTATTACACCAAAGGCTGTATCTTAGTATTTCCTTTTCTTTATACAAACTACTTTGATTTACAAATAAATCTTATAGTTTTTAAGGTAAATCTAACTAAGAAAGGCTAAAATTTGTCATTATGAATGAATTGAATACGTTGGGTTACAGAAAGAAAATTAAGTCACTATTATTTATAGGCCATGTAATAACTTAGAAAACACTCTCTGGGTCTGCTTGATAAGCAGAATGTATTTAGCAGGCAATGGCTGCCATATTTATAGAGTGTGGTCCCAAATGTTTAAAGTGTTTGGTAAATAATGACATAATTTTATCCAGGAACCTTCTGGCAGGAATATTGTCAGGATCTGCACAAGTTAGGTGTGGGGAAAACTACACTGTTAATTGTTTTCAGAAGATTCAAGTGCTTAGTTTGCACTGTCTCTTCCTTGATCCTCAGTAGGGACGTAGAACACACAAAGAACAAAAAGAATAAAGAGCAACATTCCCCTCTGCTTCTTCCCATCTTTTTCTCTGCATCCTTCAAATACTCACAAATGCGCACACACACGCACACACACGCACACACACACACCACTTCGCTACTGCACTTAGAAAGGGGAAGACCTTGTTCAATCTTCTGAATCCACTACTTATCCTACATTTTTATTTATTTATTTATTTATTTATTTGGCTTTTTCATTTTTATCGGTACCAGGGATCGAACTCACGACTGCCTGCTTGCAAGGCAGGCGCTTATGCCACTGAGCTAAATCCTCAGCCCCTATCCTACATTCTTATACCTTAGTGATTTTGCATCTTTAAAAGCATTCTTTTAAGTTAGGCAAGATGGCACATGCCTGTAATTCTAGCACTCAGGAGGCCGAGGCAAGAAGATTGCTGTGAGTTCGAGGTCAGCTAATTTACAAAGTGAGTTTAAAGCCAGCTTGACTGCATAGTGAAATCCTGTCTCAAAAAAAAAAAGGCCTCTCCTCCCAAAATTAAAAGTCTTCCTTAAAATTCCTGGAGTAGGGGTAGGTTGTATACAGGTGGAGGAGGACAGATACAAAACCAGCCTGCCTTATCCACTGCATGCCTCTAAATAATCTCAAGGGGTCACAGGTTGTTGATCCTGTGTCAATTGTTTTATATTTGCAGCCATTGGCAGGTCAGTGTATCCTTTTGCCCTGTAATTGATTTGATCTTAACTCTGTGAGGTAAGTATATTTTATTAAATCATTTTGTTCCTTATAATTTCATGGATCTCAATCTCAAATGTAATGATATGTAATCTAATCTTTTCACACATACACTCAAATGACCCAGAGGTAAACTGTTATTTCCTAAATCTCAAGGCTAATTATAATTCAGGTTTCTCTCTCTCTCTCTCTCTCTCTCTCTCTCTCTCTCTCTCTCTCTCTTTCTTTCTTTCTTTCTTTCTTTTCTTTTCTTTTGGTACTGATAATCAAACTAACGACCTCATGCTTGCCAGGCAGGTGCTTTTACTGCTGAGCTAAATCCCTGGCTTGAATTCAGGTTTCTTGATGACTACCTCTTCGTTTCATTTATTGTTTCTTATAATTTTTTTTTTGAGACAAGTCTTGCCATGTAATTCAGGGCCTTGAACTCACTATGCAGCACTAGCTGGCCTTGAACTCATAGCAATCCTTCTGTCTCAGCCTCTCAATTGTTGGATTATGGGGTACACCATCATGTACCCCAGACTTTGTTGATTCTTTAGACATTTGCTAAGTTCAAATGTAAGTAATATGGATATACTCAGAGAGAATATTTTTAGAAAGTATAGCTATATATAAGTATAGATTTCCAGTACATCAGTGCTATTTTGAAACATTTCTCTAAAAGGTTTCAGTGAGTTCACTTTTGCTAATGCCCAACCCACTTGTCTACCAGACTTTAGCCAGTTTCTATTACCTGGAAGCTGGCCTTGAACTTGGAAGTGGAAAAAACCTTGGAACAACAGGAAAACAATAACCATAAAGACCTAATATTAGAAGATTCAAAGAACCACTTGCAGCCTCTATTCCAAAATGTATTGATTTTTTTTTCTTGCATACTAACTGGCAATAAGGGTTAGAGGTTTTCTTGCATACTAACTGTCAATAAGGGTTAGAAATGTAGCTTAGTGGTAGAGTGCTTGCCCTAAACCTGTGTTAGATCCATAGCACTGAGGAAAAAAGAAAGAAAGCAAAAAGACGAGAAAAGAGGGGGGAGAGAGAGAGAGAAAGAGAGAGAAAGAGAGAGAGAGAGAGAGGGAGAGAGAGAGAGAGAGAAATATGCCACATTAAAACAAGTTATAAATCCCTGTCTAATCACAGAACAGGCCGTACACTTTCTACTCGTGGGGAGAGAGATTTTCTAGAAGTGGCTAAAGAACTCGGTTTCTCTTTGGAGAAGTTGCATGTGGCTAGAGATATGAAAAGTCAATAGGAGAGCCTGGATCTGTAGAGTTTAATTAATGTTGTTGTTGTTTTTTTTTCCTGAACTGGGATTCAAACTCAGAACCTTGTGCCTGCCAGGCAAGCATTTGGGTTACTGAGCCGTATCCCCAGCCCTAATTGGTGTTTCATAGGTAATGATGCACCACTGGAGTTTTTCCTTTATTTTTTTGCATGTGTGTCTTTTTGACTATGCAGTTCATGCTGGCCTTGAACTCACTTTGTAGCCCAGGCTGGCCTTGAATTTGCAGCAGTCTTTCTGCCTCAGCCTCCACTGCTAAGATCACACATGTGCACTACCATACCCAGCTACTGGTTCTAAATTGGAAAAGGAGGGCAATTAGCAGTCTTTTTAATTCTGACAGTTTCATTTTGGTGTGTGAAAAGCAGATAGTAGACCAGGTAGGAGGTGGCCTCGATGATGTAGTTGAACAATAACTTCTTAAGCAATAGGAGTAACCCTAGAAATGAAGGAGCTGATTCAAGAGACTACAAAAGAGCAGACTTTGATACATTTGCTATTTGATGCACTAGGGCAGGAGAAAGGGATCGAAAGACCAAAGACCCCATCGTGAACCTTAGACTTGCGGTTTGGTCACTTTTGTGAGGAGCACAGTGGGGAACAGGCCCCGGGGGAGAAGAGAGTATGAAAATAGGCAGAACTGTAAGGAATCAGGACATTTTCAAAATACCCACTTGGGATCTGGCTCCTCCAGCCTACATAGAGTTCAGGGTACAGATTCACCCTCAACAACAGGATTTGGCTTTGGTTAACGAAGAGGCAGAATAGATGGAATGCTTGGAAAGCACAAAATTCTTGAGACATTTTGAGGCAAACTGCCTTCCATGGCACTTAAGAACCCCAGAAATATTTCTTGTCGGATAGAACAGACTAATTTCATCTTCTCAATTTCAGTGTAGGAGGAATAGAAAATCAGATGCATGTATCTTTAAAAGTTAGGATCAAACTACATCAAGGCCTAATCTTTCAATTCTACATTTAGCAGTAATGTAATTCTGCCTCTAACTTTCAATCAAATTGTGCTGCAAACAGGTGGGCAGCTGACAGGTCCTTAGGGTTGGGTGATGCTGAACTTCTAATCTGGAACAAAGGGTCTTTGGACCTTTCTGCTATAGGATCTACTATGTGCTAGAGGTATTTGGCAATTTTGGTTTTCTGGAAGGTTAGTGGTTGTGCTTGAGATTAATTTGGGCCTCAAACAAACCAGACAAATGCTGTACCGCTGAGCTGCATTCCTTGCTCTTTCTAAAATTTTACCTTGGGACAAGGCTCACACTAAGTTATCCAAGCTGGATTTGAAGTTGCAATTTTCCTGTGTCAGCCACTTGAGTTGCTGGCATCACAGCTTGCATGTATGTTTAACACCATGCTTGGCCTACACGTTCAGTTCTTGGAATGCGAAAGTGAGTAAGGTATGCATCCTCCCTCTAAGGATAAAATTTTTATGATTTAGCTCTGAGTATGTTGTATAGTTAAATGAATTGCACAACTTTGTAGAAAGACCAACAGATAACTTTTCCAAAATTATTCCAATTGGCCAGCCTTTGGGATGCATGTGTTTCTATTTATTTATTTATTTATTTTGTCTTTTTTTTCTTTTTATCGGTACCGGGGATGGAACTCATGACTGCCTGCTTGCAAGGCAGGCGCTTATGCCGCTGAGCTAAATCCCCAGGCCCTGTTTTTTTTTTTTTTTTTATTCTCTGCTTTTTCAGAAACAAATAATCTCAATGTTATTTTCTGTTTGCCTACTAAGATGAATTTCTCACATTTTAATAATTTTTCTCAAATGACTTTTTCTCAACACAGGGTATGTATAAATATAAAGTTTATTTAGCATAGTGTTTAGAAAAATAAGTTCACATCATTTCAGAAAACAAATAAAACACTTAATTGTCCAGGCATAAACCCCCATTACAGTACAACAGACATACTTTAGATCTCTTTGGTTGGGTAATTAAGCACAGAAATGTTCTGGGACATGCTGTGTGCCATCACCTAACAGTGCAGTAATGACTCTGTTCTATACCCCATCCCATGATATACATTCTGGACAGAGTTTCTTTCTGAGTAAGGCACAGTAAAACCATACTGAGTGTGTAACTGGTTGCCTCCAAACATACAGTACATGCAACGGAAGAACAGATTTTTTGAGAACCCTGAAAGCCAAGAGTCACATGCTATGTAATTCTGACTAGCAAAATTTATGGTGTAATATTTAATTAACTTGAAATATACTAATAAGATTCAAAATAACCATTAGGCTCTATCATCTAGACTTTAGGAAGACTCTTGAAACATCTTTTGTACAATATTCTTCCCCCCGGTTTTCCTGAATTATTTTTTATGTGAGATGATCTACTAAAGCATTTTAAAGAATGAAGAACTTGTGGCTATGTCCTAATGCACACTTGTCTAGGATGTAGCAAGGAAGGCTGCTACACATGCCCAATAATCCAACTGCTAACATGCATGATGTAAGGGCACATACAGGAGACTTAAGGTCAATGTGTAATTAAACTAGAGTTTTAAAAATCTATGGCTACAACATCTACCTGCCTTTCACAACACCTGAAAGGCACTGGAACATGGATAATCCAAAGAGTCTTTAGCATAAATATACATGAGATAATGCAGTACAACACAGGTGCTCTTGCTTGCTGGAGGAACAAATGCACCTTCTCTTCAAACAAGAGACTGTCCTTTATTGGATGTAACTAAGAGCTAAATGCCAAACTCTGGCTGATAGAGTGCATAGATAGGCTCACATCAAAAAAGTCCCACAGCCAGTAGCAGGGGTTGGGATTTGAAGAGGATTCTTCACCCCTATTCTGATTGCTCTTCAGGCATTATTAGAAGGTCATCTGCAGCATTTTCAAGCATTGGTTTGTTAAGGAATTTCTGCCACATGAACTCCAAGGGTTCTGGGGCTGGCCCTTGGCATTGCAAAATTACATCTGCAATTCTGTGCAAGGAGATCATGGGGTTTATAATTATTCCATTCACATATATTTGGACTACATACCGACTGGCCTGAAAGAAAAGAACCATAAGTTCTTTCTAATGTGCATTGATTCTTACATGGTCTAGTGTGCAGCTACCTGGAGTAATTATACGGTTATAATTATACTATGTTGGGAATATAAATGGGTTTCCTATGTAAGTCTGAGGTTTTTGTGCTATCTTTTTTTTTTTTCATAAAGGAAAATGCATGAAGAACTCTACATAAAAGACAGGAATATTATATTTTTGGAAGACATGTTATATATGTAACATATATAACTCTCTTTAAACCTTCCCATCTCTCTATTGGATGGGTATTTTAAAAGTATTAAGAAACTCTTGATATCTGCAGCAATCAAGTGGAAAACATCATTTTCATTACAGAATCATGTAATTAACCTTGATGACAAGATCAGCACACAATCAAGGGAAAAAAAGCTGTATACTATTGTAAAATGGAAGAGAACTCCAAAACACCTGACTCTGTTGAAACAAAACAAAACAAAACAAAACAAAACAAAATAAAATAAAATGTAATTTCAGCAGTTTGGGAACATTCACCAATTTCAAAAAACTGGATGTCAGTTCTTTATCAAAATGATGGAAAGAGTTTCCTCACAGGGCTCTTTACTTGTGCCTGCAAGTTCCATTGCAATAACAGCAAAAGTTAAGTACTCTGTGGTCCTTGTTCAACATGATCAGCTGATGGACACATAGGTCTAGAATGGCCCCTCCATTCTCATCTTAAAGAAAGATGTAGCATTTTTATGTAGAACAACTTTAAGTCATTGTCAAACAGATGATCTTCTCACTTTTCTGGCTTCTCAGAGAATAGAGTAATTTTACTCACTACATAAATGTGCTTGTATTTCAGAGTCCTGATAAAAACTATAAACACAATTCACAATATTATCCAACAAGCTTCTTACAGAAACCTAAAAGATTGCTTTAAAGAGGACATGATCAAGTAGTGCAAACAACAGCTAATTACATGTCATCGTGTTTCAAGAAATGCAAAACACTGAGAATGAAGTTCCCACAGGACAGAATTTTGCTAAGTAGAATATACACATTTGTTCTTTACTTTAAAATGGCTGTTTTCATAGACTGCAGTTGATTATATAGTTTTTTGTAATCTAATTGCTGTTATTGTCATTGTAATAAAAAACAGTAATAATTAGCTGTTTATCCATTTGCATAACATTACAGATAAAATTTAGTGAAACTTAAGTTCTCCAGATGTAATATAATTTTGTGATAAAATTAACCCTGCTAGATAGTAGAAAAGAAACATCAGTGCTTTTACTGACACTTCTGTATCTTACTAAAAGGCCACAAGTTAAAAAGGCACATAGAAGTCTATATAAAACATATTTAAAAGAATCAGAGTTGCTAAATAAAGAACAGAGATGTGAAAAAAAGTACCAAAACTCCAATATTGGGAGTTAGAATTCCTGTTTCAGTGTTATTAATATTGACCGTAGTAGACTTCTGATAAAAGTCACTGCTTTTAAAATCCTACAAAAAGTAAAACTACTGGAAACAATGTTCACTTCCTGTTCGAACAATAAAAATAAATTAAACAGTAAGAAAACATTTTTCTTTTTAGTTCATACCGCCTGAAGTATAAGAGAAACATACACAGTATAAATAAAACTGTACTTACTCAAATCTTGCTTATAGTATTGATATATTTACATTCACACTGAAGTTTGTTTCAGTTTTTAGTGGAGTTTCAAACCTCCTCAGCTACACTGAACTGCTAACAAACACATCTGGAAATGTGTACAGAATTAAACCAAGACTTTCTCAAAAATGCTGAAATAGATAAGTGTCTGTATGCATATACATATACTTATATATATTAAGCTACTTAATGTCAAAAAATACACCCTTACAATAGTTTGGAGTACCATTTCTGTTTCTTAATCTTATCAATGCCCATGTAATAAAAGTAAACAAAAACAATTGCATTGTTTCTAATCGTCTGCAGTTATATTTAATTTTCTATTATATGTATACATTTTTAATTTAAAAAACTTAGTAAGTTCCATTTTGAACTTAAAATTATACTGTCAACTAAATGATATACTTTGACTTGATACATTTCATCTTTGCCTCCATCGAAGAGAGAACATTATACGTGAACAAAAAGGTTTCCATAAATCAGTTCTACCAATGTATATTCAACCATGATTTTCATGCAGATCAATTCCAAGTCTCTTGAATGCATTTACTTAAAAAAGTAGAGTCTTTTCCTTTGGATGGGGAAATGCTTTATGTCTTTGGGGCCACATGAAAAGATTTGCTGCTGATGCCAAAAGCAAAAAGGGAGGGGGAGTGTAGGAAATGAAGTTTATAAGTCTTGTATATCTTCATCCAACTGGACAGTTTGGAGCTTGGCAAGCTCTTTTTTGTCTGTCTCCAGGTCTTCACATACTGTCTCAACCATGCCATCTAGGACATACTTGGATTTGGAGTCTAGTACCATAAGGCTGCTTGTTGCTTTGTTCTCGGAATTCTGCAAGAAATTCTCCTTCAAGTTAGCCACGGATTGCAGAATCAGTCGGTGTTCTCTGACAAAATCTTGGTGAACTGCTGGGGTGGTATGACCTACCTGGTCTTCAGCTGTAGGAACTATTTCCCCAAGGGCAGCTTGAGGCATAGGGACTGACAGTAGGTCTTGACCAGTAATAAGGGAGCAGTTCTGAAGTGTTGCATAGTTAGTGTTGCCGACAGAGGTCACAGTAGATTTGCTTGCCACAGGTGCAGACATTGGCTGGCTATCAGCAATGTCATGATTTAGCTCAGTGGGATTTAGTAGAGTAGGGGGAGTCAGGGAAAAATTGTGAGTTGGGGATACATTAACTAATGAGGGGACCAGTGAATGAAGGCCGCTCCCTGGGATATTTTCGGAAGACAGGTTTGCATTTACTTGTGCATTCTGATTGACAGGCATCAACTGAGAAAATACCAGGCTCCTTTCCAAGCCTTCCTGTTTCACAGCTCCTACTGTCTGGCCTGAATTAGGAACAGTATATACCACTGCACTGGGAGCAAGAGAGTTCAAGAACACCTTTCCTTGCTGGATTGTGGCAGACTCACTAGTAAATGTGCTCCCATCTGAAGTGCTTGAATTTGCTGAAATATTACCTAGAAAAAAGTAAAGTACCAATTAGCATTGATGGAGGTGGCAAAAAGGAAAAAAGTTACTTCTTTATACAATTTTTCTCCTCAGGTACAGTATCTATGGAGAAGTGACACTTTCTTTCTTCTTCTTTTTTTTAATCTTTTTTGTTTTTATTGGTACCAGGGATCAAACTCACGACCGCATACTTGCAAGGAAGGCACTTATGCCACTGAGCTAAATCCCCAGCCCCGACACTTTCAAGTAATTTTTTTTTTTTTAATCAGAAGGATTAAACCCAGGACTGTGTACAAACCTATATCTCTGGCCCCTTTTTGAGACAGGGTCTCACTAAGTTACGCAGGCTGGTCTTGAATTTATGATCCTCTTGCCTCAGCCTCCTGAATAGTTGAGATTACAGACATGTACCACCATGCCCCACCAGCCTAATGATGGTAATTTTTGTAGTGCTGGGGAATGAAAGTGGCCTACTATAGAGCTACACTGTTAGCCTAGACCAGCTGCATTAAAAAATATTTTATTATTATTGTTTTTGAGACAGGGTCTCTCTATGTGATTCAGGCTGGTTTTGAACTCACTATGTAGCACAGGCTGGGGTTGAACTTGCAGTGATTCTCTTGCCTCAGCCTCCTGAGTACTGGGATCACAGATGCCTGCCAACAGACCTGGCTTAAAACAGCTGTATTTTTAACTTTCCAACAAATTCTGATGAGAAAACTACTGGTTTGGAAACCAAGTATGAAAAAAAGAAAAGAAAAACTCTGGTCCCAAGTTCTGACTTCTGTTAAGTATTTGGCTCATTATTACCAACCTGATGTCTCTTAATTACTATCTAGTTATACCTAGTGTTGCCAGTTAAAACTAGAAAAGATAAATGCAAAGTAGAATGCCTGTTGTTCAGGACTTCTCAGTAACTGGCATAAAATATGAATGGATAGATACAAAACCACAGAAAGTGAGTTTCCCTGGGGCATAAAAGTTAACCACATAAACTTGCACAGACAAGTTGCAAACTTTCATCAAACTAGCCATAAAGTAATGTCAAGTCAACACAACATTCAAAAGCCTTTTTCTTCTTTTGCTGAGCCAGTTCTGAAGTTTCATGGTTGTGGAGTTAGGAAAAATTAATGATAAGAGCAAAATGAGCTTTTAAAAATATAAACTAACATAAAGGACAACAGCTAATATTTTTCTAAAAGGGTTGTATCTTTTTGGGCTCTCATTATAATGGTCTGCTGTTAAGACTAGAAATAGAAAAAGAAATCTAAGTGGAAAGCTGAGATGTTCAAATCAGATAACTCAGACAAGGCAGAGGGGTTAGACCTTCTCTCCAATAAGCTGAATCATTGTTCTCTCTGAGTTGTCACACAAGCAGAGTGAAATGATGGCAATGAGATGATCCCCAAAACCCTGCCACTGAAGGAGAAGTAGACTTGAGGAGAGTTTTGTTACATAACTCAGAAGAGCTATTTACCCTGACTTTGAATTAGATGATCTGGTTGGGACAACAGTCCAATGTTAAATTGAATAATCGCCTAAACCATATTTTCTTGAATTATTAGAATAATGGTGATTAGACTACCACATATATTGATAAATATTTTCTTTTAGGTTACTCATATATTTGGAACATTTTAAAGCACCCTAAAGTAAAGGAATGCTTCTAAATGAGAAAAAAGGAAAAAACAGTGCATTTGAATTTCTTTTACAAATGGAACCATTAGGTAGTATTCATCATAGTACACTAGTTGTATGAAAAGCATTTCTAGGTTAGTTTAAGCTATTCCCCAACATAAACATTTGTTTGGGTCATACAAAAAAACAAAAACGGAAACAGTATCAGCAACTTTTACTTGAAAATATTTGGCTTCAATATAAGTATGCTATAAAATTCTTGTTGACTGCTATATTTTCGCAAAGAAACATCTGAAATAGATGGTTATCTTGTTGTATACATGTCTGTAAAATTGTTTATCAGTATGCAAGCAAACCAAACAATTTTTTTTTTTGTGTGTGTGTCTTTTTCCTTTTTATCGGTACTGGGGAATCGAACTCACGACTGCCTGCTTGCAAGGCTGGTGCTTATGCCGCTGAGCTAAATCCCCAGGCCCCCAAACAATAATTTTTAGTAGAATCATAAATAATATACTATATGCAACATTTTTCCAAATGGCTATTGAATAGAAGGAAAATAATTTTTCTGTATGTGTAGAAATCATAACATATATAAATGAGGTAGAGCAGATATGATCTAAAAGATCACATAAATATAACTGCAAGTTATAAATTGAATAGTAATTTTAAAATCAGTTTAAAAGTCCAACTAAAAATCATACATGAAAACTTTATAATGAGCCAGGCATGGTGGCTCACGCCTGTAATCCCAGCACTCGGAGGCTGAGGCAGGAGGATTATTGTGAGTTCGAGACCAACCTGGGCTACAAAGTGAGCTCAAGGCCATCCTGAACTGCATAGCGAGACCCCATCTCAAAAAAGACAAAAAAACAAAACAAAACAAAAAAACTTTATAATTACGATAGGAAAAAAATTCTCATTTTCTCAAATTATAAAGTGAGTAAGAGATGTAGATGTTCTATTTTTTTGGCTATTCTATTTTTTAAAAATAAATTTCTGTCTACCTTGTCTAGACATTTTATTTATTTACTTTCACACTAGGAATTGAACTCATGACTTTGTGCTTGCCAGGCAGGCATTGTGCCACTGAATTCATCCCTTGTCCTGGTCTAGACATTTTAAAGAAGGCTTGGTATGTGTTTTTGAGAGAGGTCGAATCCTCAATATGCTTAAGAACTATAATATGCAGTTACTATAAAGAAATGTTGCTTATTGGATCCATTTGGTGAAATTTATGCCTTTAATTCTAAGGACTGATGGCCTTGTCATTTGCTTTTAGCTATTTAAAAAAAAACGCCATTGTTTTTATTAAATATCCCATTTAGAAAATTAGCTATTAGTTCACAATGATTTTTCTATGGTAGCACTTTGCTCGATTACAAATAAAAGATCCTTTTGCTGTTGTCCTTCTCAATGTATATACTCATACTTTCTGTTTTTGTTGTATATAAAACATTACCTACTGTGTAGAAATTTTCCTAAAGAGGTAAAAAGAGACTATATACACATTAAGTTATTATAAAACTAAGTACTATGTGTTTCATAGTTTTGCCCTATGTTGAAGAATCAGTAGGCTTAGCTCTTTCTATAACCTGGAACAATGAACAAGTGAATCATACACACTACAGGACTGCTGTATTTACTACCATTCTGAAGTAGACCACAGTCATGGAAACAACAGAGTTGGGCATAATTTTTTTTTCTTTCTGGTAAACTATCCTTATAGAAAGTGGACTTTTCAAGCCAATGATTGCTTAAGTTCGATTGAGTAAAAATCTGGACTTTGCTATTTGCTTATAGAACATCAAATATACATAACTATCTTCCATTCCTGAAATTAAGGGACTATTTATTATCACTGTCAAATTCCAACCATTTGTCTTTTTCTTTCCTTTTTTTTTTTTTTTTGGTGCCAGGAATCTAACTCAGGAAGCGCACTTGCAAGGCAGGCGCTTATGCCGCTGAGCTAAATCCCCAGCCCTGCCATTTGCATTTTTATATAAAGAAAATGTCAAGTAATTCAGATTTGCTTAAAGATAGCAAAGACCCTTAATCATATCAGTCTCCCAAATTTAAAATTGGTGCTTAGCAGATTTCTATCAATAAATTCACAAACATACTCAATAAGGCTTCAAGTTATCATCAATAAACCTATACAATTTGGGGGTAAATATATACACAGAGCAATAGACACCCCGTTACATATTCCTCTGGCTTTCTTTTAAGTCTTTGTTTTAATTATAAGAGGAATGTGCTTCAAATAAAATTCATTTTGTCTTTTTAACTTGTTTTTTTAGAACACTTTTTGTCAAATAAATAATGTTTAGGCACAGTAAACACATTCTCACCAACTGCTTGACTATTTTTATGTTCTTAGCAATTTCACTAACTTTATTTAAGTCTCAAGTTTTGGTTTATTTTATAAGCACCGATTGCCTTACGATATTTCTTTCTTTCTTTCTTTTTTGGCTTATTGTATTTCTATAACTGTAGATTTGGCAAGACTTGCTAGGAACTGTACTTTCCCATTTAGTTTTGTGCAGATAAAAGCCCATCGCCATGATGTGAGGGAAGGAAGGCAGCTGGGTATCACATAGGGGTTAAGAAAGAAGACATTCTTATCAAGATTACTGTGCAGCTGTGGCAGCCAATCAGGTACCCAAACAGTAGTATCAATCTACAGCTCTTCCTAAATGCATCCTTTACAGCGGCTGACCAACACACCTACTGGTGCATTATGGTACCAAATGAGTCTTTTACCTTGTGATGCTGCCACTGAGACAGGAGGTGGCTGCAGTGGAGAGAATCCAATGCTCCCATTAAGGAACTGGCCGTTTGCTCCGGAATTAGGGATCTGGACAATGCCATACTGGTTAATTTGCACTGGTGTAGTAAAAGTCACTACAGAGCCTCCGTCCTGGGAAGCCACTGTTTGAATGCCTTCTCTTTTCACCTCAGTGCTGGGTGTCAGCCCTGGGAACGACACACTGGGGCTGTAGGAGGTGGCGGCTGCTGAGTTAGCAGCAGAACTCTGGAGGACTTTGAATTCCTTCACATCCTGAGAGGTAGACCCCAGTATGTCTGTTAAGGCTACACCATTGCTCACAATGTTGGAAGACATTTTTGGTGGATTCAGTGATACTGTCTGCGCATTTCCCACATTTAATCCATTAAGGATAACTCCACTGGGTCCCTGAATAAAAGAATTACCATTAAGGAAGACAGGTGAAGCACTTGCAGGTACCAAGCTTCCATTCAACAGTACTCCAGAACTGCTTAATGGTATCTTAGTATTTCCAATTTGCTGCATATACACTGGCTCCATGTGGCTGGAAAGGCTGAGATTGGCGACGCCATCAGATGAACCTGAGAGTGGGTGAGGAGACAAATCTTCATGTCCCTTGCTGGATTCATCTTCTGTGCTGGGATTGCCATCAGACTCACTATACAGAGGAAAACCAAGACATTCAGAAGGTCAAGGAGATGACATTCTACACAGTGCCATTTGTTTAGAAGACAGCTTCTAAATCCATTAAAAGCAGTATTTAAGGAAAGCACAGCAGGATGTCTGCTAGCCTTATTTAAGCTCAGAAGCCTTTCAGCAGGCTGGATCAACCAGAGAATCTGAAAAGATGATCTCTCAGTTCCTAGTAATTTTAAATAACAATAAATTCAGGGAAAGGCCAATGATCTCAAAGATAAATTCAGCAGACAGGAGTTAAAAGTGATGTGCTTTTCCTTACTGTTAAATATGCTGCTACTTACATCACAGTTTTTCCTGTTCAGGAGTGCAATCCCCTATTGTCCAACTAATTCAGATCAGTGTTATTTTGGAGGTAAAGGAACAGGAGGTGTGAGGTATTCAACTGAGTTTGCCAGTTCATTATCAAGAGACCAAAATGTCTCACGTTTCCAAAAATGTCTACTCCAACAGATGGATGGACAACTCTCACTCAAAAAAGTGGCTGTCCTGGTAGGAACCACACTTTTAAACCCAGAACACTTTTGTATAGCTGCCTTAGAAGCCAAAGGAACCTATTTTCCAGACCCATCTAGTGCCTGGGAGACTTGGGTCTGTGTGGGTCATTCGGGGGCCTTGTTACTATCAGAGCCCTTTGCAGGGTCCTCAGTCGGGATCCAGACAAAACTGTGCGCCTCAGCTCTCCGACTTGGGCAGAAGAGTGATGGGTTCTTCCCATTTGACCCGAGGTTGGGCGCAGACGCAGGACAGAGGCAAACTGGATACATAGTGGGACCTGGCCCAGCGAAGGGCCAACTCTGCAGTGGCTCTCTGTTCACTTGCAAGCCAGGGGAGGGGATTACCCGGGCTTTGGGCTGCGGGGCCAGGAGCGCAGAAAGCGCTTTGATTTATGAGCTGAGGCTGAGCCACCGTCGCCGTCTGCGAGGGTGACTCACTGGGGGTGCGGGTGGGAGGCAGATCCGGAGGGGCCTACACTAGGCAACTGGCGGTGTGTGTGCGTGCATGCGCCTGTGTGTAGTTAATGGGGAGGGGATGAAGTCGGCAGTGTGGCGCGAGGGGCGGGGAGCCCAGGGACCGCGCAGGCTGGGGCATGGAGTCTGCAGCAGGGCAGCTGGCCTGTGCCTGTGCGCGGGCCGCTCCCTACCGCTCCCGGAGATCCGCGGCCCCCAGCCGGCGCGGGGAAGGTGGCAGGGCCCGGCCTAACCTCCACAGGTCTGCGGGAGGCTTCTCTCCTCACGGGCGCGTTTTGTTTTGGTTACCCGAAGCCAGACTCGCAGGCTGAGCCTCTTCTCCTTGGAAGAGGAAGGCGGCGGCCGTCGGGGCCGCCAGGTCTGGGGCAGGAGGGGGCGGCGACGCACCGGTCACCTCCACCTGGCCCGGCAGGCGGCTCCCTGCCGCGGCCGCTGGGACTCTTCCTCCCCAGGTCCCAAGGCCGGAGCCGCACGCCTTTAGGCGACCTTCTCTTTACTTTACCTCATCTAACTTATACACAAACACACACAAACCCTGCCCAGGCTCTGAAGGACACAAAAGAGGTGGAAGTCCTGGTATTTTCTATGGGAGGAAAAACATGCCGGTCCAGCCCAACAGGGTAGGAGATCGCGGGGAGCAGTCATCAGCGACCCCCGCTCCCCTGTGGTCCCCTCGGGCAGCCGGCCCCCACCACCCGCGGGAGGCGGATGCGCCGGCTTGGGCCCCCGGAGCGGCTCTCCGGCCCTGCTACTCAGCGGTGCTGAAACCCGATCCGAAGTCGTTCAGAATCAGGTTTCAAAACACTGCGGAGCCTAGCCGCGCCGGCACCCCACGTTGCTGCTGCCGCAAAGCAACCGCTGCGGGAAGGGTGAATGATTAACTTTGTCACATTTAAACCTCGACGTCCCCAAATCCACTCGGGGCCACCAGCCTCCCCACGAATCTCCTCTGCACTCCCGAACAGCGCTGATCAGCCTCCACGCAGGGCAGGCCTCGGGTGGGGAGAGCAGCAGGAACCCGCCGGTCGGGAGCCCGCAGGCATCCCGCGCAGGAGCAACCCCGAGAGCCGCAGCCCTGCCGTCCACGCACGCCTCCCAGCCCGCCGAGTCCCCGGCGCGCGTGGCAACTTCGGAGCGGCGCGAGCGGGGTGGGCAGCCGGCCGGCGCGGAGCGGCGCAGCGCAGCGCAGCGGGGGCGGGGACTGCGTCCTTAGCGGGGCCCGAGAAAGTTCTGGGGGCCGCGGGGGAGGGGCGGCCGGGGCCCGGGCCGGGGCGCGGCGGGGGCGGGGAGAGGTGGGCAGCGGCTGGCGGTGGGGAAGGTAAGCGCCATGTTTGCAGCGCCGCGAGCCGAAGAAAGCGGGGAAGGGGGTGGGGAGGGCGGGGGAGGAGGGGCAGGGAAGTTGGCGCTCACCTTTTGGACTGGGTCTCCGAGGGGTTCCGGTCACGCTGCCGGCGGTTCTTGAACCAGTTGCTGACCTGGGTGAGGGACAGGCCGGTGATCTTAGCCAGGTGCCGCTTCTCGGCGGGCGAAGGGTAGCGATTCTGCTTGTAGAGCTCCTTGAGCGCGTTGCGCGACTTCTCCTTGAAACAATACACCGTCTCCTCGCCGTCCCAGATGGTGCGGGGCAGCGGGAATTTCCTGCGCAGCCGGTACTTGTCCACAGCACCCAGTGGCCGGCCGCGCGCGCGCTCGGCCTCGGTGTAGCGCGCCTTGTACCAGAGCTGCTGCAGCAGCGGGTGGTTGGCCGACTCGAAGCTGTGGCTCTCGAGGATGCTGTACAGCTCGGGGTAGATGCCCTGGTGGAAGGCCACGAGCGCCCGCGCCTTCAGCAGGCTCTCGTTGCCACGTAGCAGGTCGCTCTGGGGCAGGGACCACAGGAATCGGGCCAGGCGGTCCAGGTTGCCCCCCTGCTGTAGCGCCTCGCACACGCAGGCGACGTGGTCCGGCGAGAAGGCCAGCGGGGTCTGCGCGGCGGCGGTGCGGTGCCCGCCCAGAAGTTCCGAGTGCAGTCGGACCGGCTCTGCCGCCGCCCCTTCCTCGCGGCCCGCGCCGGCCGTGGCTTCCCCCGGCTCCAAGGGGAACGGAGCGGGAGTCGGGGGGCTCAGCCCCGCCGCCGCGCCCCCCGCCACCTCGCGCTGCGCCTCCTGCCCTTCCGAGGCGCTTTCCATCCCATTCTCCTGCTTGATGTCCGCCGCGCTCGCGATCTGCCCGGTGGGGGAGGAAGAGGACATTTTTTGTTGTTTATTTTCCTCCCTCCCTCACTCCCTCGCACTCTTTTTCTCTTTCTTTCCCCCTCTCTTACTCCTCCTCCTTCGACTCCCTCCCCCTCCCCCCCTCCGGAAAGCCCACTCCCTCCCTCCTGGTTTCGGCTGGATCTGGCCGATCAGGTTTCCCCCCGGCCACGCAGTCACCATTAAGATAGCTGCTAGAGCAAAGTAGTGTAAACGGATAGCTGCTTTCTGCCGTTCCCCCAACGTGACTCCTCCGGTTGCTGCATACTATATGGCACTGGCTGCCCGGCCGGCCCGGCTGCGCCACCTCATTGGCTATTTCGCTTTCCGAGGGAGGAGGAGACACAGTGTCTATCCCTGGCGATCATTCCCCCCCTCCGCCCACTCCGCCCCCTCCCTCCCTCTCCCCTGACCCCCAGGCACCTATACCTGAAGAGAAACTCGACATTCTTTTCAGGCCAAGCTCCCGGCCCGCAGTTACCTAATGTGGCTTGAGAACTGGACAACTCTTTCAAAGAAAGGTCCTTTGATTCCAGAGAATGAATTCTGTAGCCTCAAGGTCTGCATGGCTACATTTTTAATAAGAGGACCACTCTCAACATCGAGGTGACAGAATTTCAGAGCTGCCTAGTATGTTTCTACCCCTCTGGTACCCCCCCCCCGCCCCTCTGTAGGACATCTTTATGGAGGATTTATATTCTAGGGGCAAAGAAAGAATGGCACTGGAGGACCTTATAAGGGGCTAGCGTTTTACAGTAAACTAAAATTCCAAAGGGAGAAAATGCTTGAAAATCTGGAGTACTGTGAATAGCCCACTGGGAATACAAAAAAAATTCAAAAAATGTGCTCAACCTTGTCACCTGGAGGGCTGAAAAACCAACTTGAGAGAAACCTGATGTAACTAAGCATATAGAATGTTAAATCACATGTTTATCTTAGATAAGTAATATGGAAGAAATCTAAACCTATGCTTAAGACCTGAAAATTTTATGTATGAACAATTTTAATATGCATGTTGTCAATAGGCTTTCCTTTTTTTCTCCTTTGGTGTTGCATATCGATGAGTAGTTTCTGATTTAAGGGTGATATTCCTGGTAGAAACATCATCTTTCTGTAGGTATGTGGGAGGAGAACAGCCCAAGCTTAGTGTAAACAGATGAAAGGTTGGAGGCAGAAGTGTTGGGGTGGTATTTCTCTTTCATGGGTCTCTTTCATGGTTTGCAGGAGGTCTGAACTTAGAAAAGGAAGAGCCTTTGTCTCTGCCTCTTTCTCTGCCTACTGTTGGTTGGGGTTGGTCACTTCTGCTCTCTCTCAAAAGACAGTTGGTTGGGGTTGATCTGTTCTCTCTCAAAAGACAACGTTTTCATGACATTACTCTAACCTTTACTTTAGGACGACGGTGTTGCACTGTCTGCTTCCAGTTACCCATAACTGCCTACCTTAGTGTATCAAAAGCAGCTGTTTAGGTTGTCTGCTGTCATGATCAACTTAGTGAGAATTTCTCTTTTTATGACTGGCTGTATTTTACTGCTTGTCAACTAAGATATCATTTAATGGCATCTTAGGATTTGACTTGTGTTTGTACTACCGTAATATGAAAAAGCCAAAAGTAATATTTGTGGTAATTTAAAACTTAGTGATGAGTGTGATGGTGCATACCTATAACCCGTGCCAGAGGCAGGGGATTGTGGGTTCTAGGCCAGCCTGTGCTAGATAGTGAGTTTAAGGCCACATTGGACTACATAGTGAGACACTATTTAAAAAAAAGTTCATAGTCACACATGAACTTTTGGAGCCTTTTGGAGGCATCCAATTAAGTAGTTTCAGGACAATATATAAGATTCAAAACTTTCTTGAATTTTTAAAAATATGATTTTTATTTTGATTTATTGAAAAGTCACAGAAATAGTACAGTTTTCACCCACCATTTAATTGCCTCTAATATCAATATTTTACATCATTGTGGTACATGTGTCTGAACAAATTAATATTGGCACTCCTTGTTTATTTTTGTCTTTTTGAGACAGGGTCTTGCTATGCAGGCTGGTCTTGAGCTCACTTTGTAGCCCAGGCTGGTCCTAAACTTGGAATGATTCTCTTGCCTAAGCTTCCCAAGTGCTGGGATTACAGGCGTGTGCCACCATACACGGCTTGGCACCTTTGTATTAACTAAATTCTGTATAGTTTTTCCACTAGTGTCTGTCTGTTTCACAGTCCAATCCAGGATACTACAATGCATTTATTGCTTGAAGTTTAAAGTATATTTATGAGGCAAAGTAGTCAGGAGGTTGTATAGTTTAGTGGAAAAGATATGGGTTTGAGGATCAGCTAACTAGACATAAATTTAATCCTGGTTCAGCAGTTTACTTAACAGTAAAGAAGTGGGCAAAATTATTACAAAGATTAAATAGGATGTGCCCCAAAGCAGCTGTTGCATAATTAATACTAGGTAAATGTTTGTTACCTTTCTCCTGCTTTTGCAAAATATTTTAGTTTTATTTATTAATTTAAATATCATTAGGGTTTATCCAATATCAGGTTATAGGAATCTGCTTGAGAATTATTAATCAAATATTGTGCATTGACTTAGAAGTCCACATATTAGGGTTCTAAATGTTTTCTGTATGACAGCTACATGTCAATGACAGGTCCCGAAATGAAAGCCACCCAACCCAATCTCCAGTCCCCATTGTCTTGGGTAGTTTTGTTTTAGCAGTTAGAGTCTCAGAACTTGTTAGGCCAGCAGTTTGAAGTAGATTCAAATATAGCTACATTGCTGGGCATGCCAGTAATCCCAGGTCTCAGGAGAGGGAGGTAGGAGGATCACAGTGAGTTTGAGGCCATCCTGAACTACATAGCAAGACCCTATCTCAAACAAAACAAAACAAAACCAAAAAACAGAAACAAAACAAAAACCAAAAACATAGCTGTATTAAATTGGAGAGATTATACTTTGTGTGGAATTTATCTCAGAGTACTTGTTTCGCCAGATGGTTTATAAAATTGATGAATACATGTTTCTGGTTTCTATGTCTATAATAGACAGTGGCACACTGTATTGTGCTTTGGGAAGACAGAATTGATCCTGGAATTATGTGTGAAGAACAGCAGAAAACCTAGCCTATTTTTTCTGTATTTTTTTTCCTTTTAGCCTGAAGTTCATCAAACAGAGTACATAGAACTCTTTTGCCATTTGAGTGTATTGAAGACAATTTTTGGTTTGGTACATGTTACACTTTGTTAGAATATATTTGATGGTTTTGCTACCAAGAACGAGGATTCCTGTTTTAAGGATGACTAGCTATCTGGATAATGGAGGGAAGGCCATGTAACTGTTTTTTAGTTGGTTCTACTTCAGAAAGCTTATGAAGTTGGATTTCAAAGTCCTCTGCTACCCATTGGTATTTAGTGATGGCTGATATGTCAAGCATACTTCATTGGCCTGTTGAGTCCTAAAAACAAAGCATTTAGGAACCTAATGTATTAGAATCTCTAATCTTGGGGCTGGGGATTTAGCTCAGTGGCATAAGCGCCTGCCTTGCAAGCAGGCAGTCATGAGTTCGATCCCTGGTACCGATAAAAATGAAAAAAAGACAAAAAAAAAAAAAAAAAAAGAATCTCTAATCTTGAGGACTTTTAACTCTGGGGAGAAAAGACGTATTTATATGTAAATACAACATAGAATATGAGAGCGATGAGGATGAAGAGGTGTATTTTGACAGGGGAAGAGCAGTATGGAGTGGATTTTTAGCTGAGTCTTTAAGAATGAGAATTTTGAGCAGACAGGGATAGTAGCTCATTGGAGGAAGAGAGAACAGAATGAGAATATGGGTCCCTGTGGGTATATAGCATGGTATATGGTTTATGTCAGAAATTTTGAGTAAGCCAGCGTGTCTGGACTGTGGGTTTTATGAAAACGTGTGCTAAGATATTAGTTAAACAGGCATGTTTGAGACAAATTATGAAAGATTTTGAAATAAACTTTGCTGTGGTGCACACTGGCTGTATCCATGTGTATTATGATAGCCACCATTAAATTGGTCCAGGATGGGCACTTGCTCAAACAATCAGAATTCTTTTCTGGAGTTTGCCATATTTGTGCTAGAAGAATTAAGACCAGTGAAAGGCACTTTGAATGTGAAGCTCATCTGGCTGTATAAGACACTGATGAGTGAGCAGTGTTTGAGGCAGTAGTGAGTCACCCTGGTGACAGTAGGGGAAGGCATCCTGCTAGAGAACCACTGAGTGCCAGGTTCAGTCGTCTCCTAGGCAGAGGAATACTCTTACCTTTGAGTGATGACATGACTTTCTTCAGGAGCTGAGGTGTCATTCCTCCTGATGAGTTAATCATCCAGTCATGTTGCCAAGCAGTGTGGAGGGCAGGAGTGTAGGTAGCTGGACATAAAGACCTGCTGTTCCATTCACTTGTCCCTGCTTCTCTCATGGAGATAGTTTCCAAAGTAACTTTCCTGAGAAGGTGGGAACCCCTTTAGATGAGGAAAGCCTAACCTGGGTCCATACCCTTGAGGCTAAAAAGGAAAGCCTACATTTAAGAAACATGACCTGGGGAGAAGGAATCTACTGTTAACTGAAGTGGGAATGCTAGAGTATGAGCATTTTTTGAAAGAAAATTAATGGGCTCACATGGTCCGTGCAGCTGTCTTTGGAAATGTAGGAAATGTAGGAAACTGTTGATAGTTATTGTTTTTTTAATTGCTGGAGATTGAAGTCAGTGGCTTGTACAGGCTGGGCAAGTGTTGTATCACCACTGAGTTACACTCTTGTTTTGGTTTGGTGGGTTTCTACACAGGTTGAGTATCCATTTGAATCTGAAGTCTGGTACTGGTACTATGTTTTCTTCCTGAACCACTTACCAGTCCAATTATTTAAAGACAATATAACCAAAAATTACATTTTTGTGAATTTTTAAGACGATATAACAGGAAATATAAAAATGAAAATATCAAATTTATTCAATATAGGAATCCACTGACAATGACACTTGGCCTGAGCAATGCTGGGGGTAGGCAGTAGGTAAACAAGCACGCTGCCCAAGGGACTTACGCATTTGAAACTCTGGTTGTCCTTTATGATTAAAGCCCATCAGTGATAATGAAGTATTTTAGTCTGAACTGTACGTATTCCCATGTCATATAGTTTATTCGTTATAGCAATCTTATGAAGTATGCTATATGAGGGAGGAAATGACACAAGGGATAAGAAATTTAGTGAAATACAGGCATGTCTGATTTAAAGGCTGTCAGGTTCCTCTTGCTGTATTATACTGCCTCTTTTAGTTACTATAACTAGTAATAATACTGT